ACAGTGAATGCTACAGTACTGGCAGTTTATTAAGAACACCTAGCTGAAACTGCTGAAGTCTGATACAACAATCCTGCAATAAATTCTCCCTTCATCAAGGTTATAATGTTCAGTTTTGAATGAGACTCTTTCAGAGTGGTGTTCATGATTATTTTTGCAGTTTGTGCTGCTGTTGTTGAGCTGTATTTCATTGTACACTTACTTTGTCCGCCCCACTTTTATCAGTGAGGGCAGGCTGATCTGAAACACCACAAACTACGTGCAACCGTTTCAACAAAAACTGATTACAACCTTTATAAAGGAAGAATTTATTGCACGAGTGAATGAGTTTTGGCTAGGTGAACCTAATAAGCTGCCAACTTATATTCTGTAGCCTATATGTACATATGTATATATGAGTCCATATATATAGCTAATGTGTAGTATGTTCCCTTTTTTGCAGACCACTGATATAGTCTTCAAAATCTTTTAATAGGTGGTAAAATGTCTGATGTTATTAAAGTTTGAGAATAATATCGCATTAGTGATCAAATCATGGCCTATTGAATTAAAAAAAAATCAGCAGGAGAAAAAGTGAATGAAAGCTCATGTTCAACCACCACTGTTATGCAAAAATTAGGAGTTGGCACACATGAAATCAACAGTTGGTTGGCGCTACTTTTCCAGTTGGGGGCTATTAAACCTGTGACCATAATGTAATTAAAAGAGTGTCAGTCAAACCTCACACAAATGTGAAAAAACATGATGGGAATATGGTGAGGATCCTTACAGTCTCCTTATGGCTCCACACAGGTCTGCTGACCATCATGATTTATTCATTAAGTCTCTTTCAGTTGCATTCTATTGTATTTTGCTTTTGTCGATACACCTCGGCCAAATAAAAAATAAATAAATAAATAAATAAAAGCCCTTTTTGGAATATTTTTCAACCTTTTTCCACTCACGATTTTTCATATGAAAATTGAAAATGTGCATAAAACCAGAATATTGAAAACGTTCTTCTGACAAATCCCAGGGATGTACAGCCATATAGTGTTGTTGCATTTGCTGCATTGTTGTACTATGCCATACGTTTGTGATTGTATTTTTGTGTCTATTTTAATCCCTTTAATGTGCGTCTCTCTATGTATAAACTGTATATGTCTATTTTTGTACACAGGTCTCTCTTGAAAAAAGAGATCTCGATCTCAATGAGACAACCTGTTTAAAAAAAAGGATTTAATGACAATAATAATAATAATAATAATAATAATAAAGTAGTGTTTAACAGAAGGTAATTCACACATTGTTGTTTGCTGTTTCAGAGTGACCATACTCTGTTTTTATTTTGTATGCCCTCACTCTGTAAAATGTGATTAATCTTGTGCTGGCGTGTCAGACTCTTAAGAAGCCAAACATTTAGTTAGATGGAGGTTCAGGGCTGACTGTGTCAAGTTCAAATATTTTAGTAAAATTCAATTTCGTGAGACAAAATTAGAATTAAAACGCTGTAAGACTGTTGTGATAGTAATGTTGGTGTGCGTTTCAGTGTGAAATATGTTTTTATGTTAGCACTGATCTAAATGAAACTCAGCTGCTGTTTTACATTTTTATTAGAATAATTGCAGGTTTGTCAAAGTCGCTCATCAAAACCAGTAGATGAGATCCAGAGTGTGTTTTTAGTGAAGGTGCATTGGTGGAACAATGATTTTGCTTGTGTTTGTTACAGCTTGGCCTCTCTCTCTCTCTCTCTCTCTCTCTCTCTCTCTCACACACACACACACACACACACACACACACACACACACACACACACACACGCGCGCGCACGTGGCTGCACACAGGGGATGGTTCCTGAATGGAGTTGGAGGTTAGCAGTCGGTTACACGTGACAAGTCATGGTTATTTCCAGCAACACAAAGGATGCTCTGGATGCCAGCAAACACACTCTCAAACACACACACCATGTCATCACACCTCAGATCATCCCATCATTCCACTGGTTCAGAGACTGAAGTGAAAATAATTAAATATGGAAAAAATTCATCTTCTTAATAATTATGACAGCTGTAGTTACAGGCTTCTAAGTAGCTTTCCTTAAACAGCCTACATTTAACCGAGCTTCTGTTGGGTCCATGTGCATCAAAAGACCTCAGATGGGCTATGTATATGTATAAGAAGTTGTTTTTGACAGTGGCTGTAGCTGAGGTAAAGTGGGTCATTCACGTGACACAAGAAACCGAACACCAAACTGCTCCCAGTAGTCCGGCCTGCACCTTGCACGGTAGCTCACTGTCATCAGTGAGAGGGAGAGCTCGTGTAAATGAGAGGTGATGGAAAAAAGCTCTGTATAAAAGCAGCCATTCACCTGTCTTTATAGACAATATAGATCATCCATACTCACTTAATCTATTGAACATTAAACAGCAAACAGATTTACTGCACGTATGGTATGTATGTCAGGATACTTCTGCCAGCTAGCAAGGCTACGCTAACCAGGTTACCTGTTAAACTGATTTAACAACTTTCCAGAAACCACTGAACTCAAACAATGTTGGAGTTGGGATCATTTAGTCTTCATCCAGTATCATTGATACTGTTCATGTCCAGTAAAGTTATGGGAGACTTTATACTGTACATGTATTCAGACTAGTGTTGCCTTAGTGGCAACATCCGTCCGTGTATCTGTCATCTTTACTGGTTATCAGGCTATAGTCTCCACATCTGCATCCAAACATTATAGTAAACATAAATCAAGAGAGTTACAGAACCATCCTGTGACCTGACACTGCTTCATCATACATCATGTAATTAAAGGATCCATCCATTTAATATTTATTGATTTATTTTACATAAAACGAACTACAGAGCAAAGAAACTGCAACAAATGAATGATGGAGAAAAAAAGATCCATGTTTAATACAATGAAGATTTTAAGTTTGTGTTTTATTAGTGTGGTCTTAAAGATTTCACATTCTGCAAAACTGTCTCCACAGTAGGGAATTTTAGCTGCATATCCTGCATGAAAAGTGTCATAATATGTAAATCAGTGATTTATTGATTGATTGATTGATTAGCAGCAGCAAATGTGGGTCCATGAAGGCTTCTGAAGGACTTTTGAAGGACAAGGTGAGTGACATTTTTTTTTATTTTATTTTTTTTATTGTAATGATGTGAGTGTAATCATTTCTGTGTTGACAATGCTAATTATCATTATCAAGCATAAATTTGGCATTATATGTGCAACAACTGCTTTGATTACCTTTCAAGCATATGTACACATTGTTGTTTCCATTTGAATGTGTTTATCTGACGACAATCCAGGTCCACATAATCCTTACATTATCCCAGAGAAAAGCATAACTCAGCAAAACTTTACAGTCTTGGACGGTCAAAGCATTAAACATCTGAAATGTGAAAGAAAATCTGACTCTGTATCAAACTTTATCAGTAACCCCCAGTGAATATCAGGCCATTGTCACTGTGTGTGTCTCTTCACTTCACCGTGTTTACTGATTAATGCGTCATCCATCACTATCAATTCATCTCCGCCCTGCAAACAGAGATATCAGTGATGGATCACTCTGATCTGTATCAATACACAGGACCTAATCAATAAGGTTAAACACACTAATGTGGGTCTAGAGTGTGGGCAAACAAGAGTGTGTGTGTGTGGAGGAAAAAGTCAGGCAGGGGTGTCGGTCTGATGTAACAGAGTCAGTTTCATCACCCGAGGCACCGAGGAGGGGGGGGGAGTCGAGAAGAGACAGAAGGGAAGGGAAGCGACATGAAGAGTCTAAAATGACACACACACACACACACACACACACACACACACAGACATTAGGTGTCAGCTTTTATCAGTAGCTTGTATGGCTGTGAGTTATGACCACAGCTATGCGATCATTTACACTCACTGCTGTACATAGCCAGGGGCTATCGTTCTCTCTCTCTCTCTCTCTTGGTGTGTGTGTGCTGACATTACACACTTGCTTGACTGTATTAGTGTGTCTGAAGATGAACATAAACAGAATCTTTCATTCAGTGTTTTCACATTCCAGATCTACAGAAATAAAGACACGTATGTTCACAGTTCCTGTGAAACTTTCACTGCAGATGTTTCATCTTTATTAAATGTTTTTAAAATAACAACAATTGTTTAATTGTTTCAACTTTAAAAGATGAACAAAACATGTTTTAGCTTCTAAGACGGACACATGGGAAACCATGTGTGAGAAAAGCTTAAGTAGCTCTTTTTAAAATTGGTTTAACTTTAATTAATGTTGATTAATATTTGAGCACATTGGATCTAAATACTCCAAATATCACATCTTCAAATGACACCTTTTCATGACCTATGATAACTAAGCTTTACATTTTTTAAAATTATTTATTATTGTATTTACTGGGCTTGAAAAGAAGAGATTTCTTTTACTTGCAGTCCTTCAACTTAACTGATAATGTAACAAACACAGGATTTGAAGATGTGTGCTAGTTTCTCATTCAATGCCAATAGACAGCATCAAGTCCCGATCCTCTGTAAATGTAGGTAAGTGTGAAATTGAAAAAATATTATAAGTATAATATTTGATGTCCCCAAATTTCTATCAAAATGATCTTAAAACGTTAGCATTCTTCTGACCATGGGTAAAACAGAAATATAAGTAATAGCTGCAGTGGCTTTAGGCTTTTATTTTTGTAACATCTTTAGTCCATGATGACCCCTCATAGAGGTATATGGATAAAGTTACATATGAAAAAAGAAAAAAGAAAAAATAAACAAGGTGGACATTGGCACAGGACACTTCTTAAGCAAATTACATTTTTTGTTTATGATTAATTAAGAAAATAAAGAAAATAAAGAAAATAAACCTAGAGAGTCAAAATCTGTAGGTGAAATTTGAGGTTGAATTCATATCATACAACCAACTATACGAATGTGAATAAACAGTATATATTGAAAATAAAGCATAGGAAGTGTAGGACAGGAACCCCCCCCCCCCCCCCCCCCCCCAAAAAAAACAAAAAAAAACAAAAAAAAAAAACACAGGTGTGATTGACAGCAGGTTTTCATCTGTGTTAATTCTTTGCCTTGAAATTCAGAGCGCTGTGTGTGTCCTGTCCGGCTCAAACCTTCTTTTCAGCTCAGGTCAGGTCGTTCCAGTTCACATCAGTTCAGCTTGATTCCCTTTAATTCAGTTTGCCTCACCTGGAAATGGCTCACACTAGTGACAGCAAGCTCCCATTTACTGCTGTGCGTGTGTACAAGTGTGTGCGCACAAATGTGTGTGTGTGTGTGTGTGTGTGTGTGTGTGTGTGTGTGTGTGTGTGTGTGCATGTGTGTGTGAAATGTCGGCATCTTCTCCATCTCCTGCACTCCCACTGGTTTGATGTTGTACCATCAACATCACCTACAGAGAGACAGAGAGAGACGCAGGGTTATTATATGTGAAGAAGAGACTCAGGTGTGTGTACATGCATTAACTCTCTCTTCCTCTCTCTCACCCTCTAGTGTGATCACACAGCTGTAATGAAAAGCACACACCCCCAGGATGGCTGCTTTTGAGGAACGTCAGGAAGACAGGATGTTTCTTTAAATGTTTCAGTAAAACAAACATGAATTTGTAAAATGAAGAAATGTTTTTTTTAGTAGCTTGTGGTCATATTTTGCTCACAGGAAACTAATGAGCGCTTAATTCAGCCACTGACAGAAAAATATAGACAGGTGGAGGTGCAGCAGAGGGCTAAGGCATCTTAGTCAACCCCCCCGACGACACCACAGCACACACACACACACGAACAACAAAATTGCACGTCATATCACTGCTGCTGCCTGAGGGAAACAAACTGTGGAAACCTCACTATGCTGGAAAATCACCTTTTCCATGTTATTTTACACAGCAGCACCTACATTACTTTCACACACACACACACACACACACACACACACACACACACACACACACACACACACACACACACACACAGGCAGTCTGACTGCATTTACACAAGGAACCAAAAGATCAGATTTTTTTTTTTTTTTAACTCTTTATGGTGCAGATCTCACGCCGTCACGCCCGTCTCCAGCAGACAGGTCGGTGACTGATGTGATTTTTATACAACCGTGAACGAAATGACGCGTGTGCCTCAAAGAGCTAATGTGAGCTAGCGACAATAGAGGGTTTTGTTTGTGTCACCTGATCCGACTGTGGTCCAACAGTCACCGTCATAAAAATATGACTGACTCCTGATGCATGGTTTAATACCCACATCTGATTGTTTGGCCATTATAATGAGTATTACATCAGGTTGAATGATACACAAGTACAGTCAGTGTAACTGTGATTATTCATTGTGATTTATACATGATTTATTCATTGTTGAGCTTCCCATACAACAGTTTGTTCCAGTGAAGCTACAGTACGATGAACGCAGTCTGTGCTACCAGGAGATTTCATCATTACCACGTGAACCAAATCACAATATGAACGGATGGTGGTAACTGTACAGGAAGTAGAAAAAAAAAGGGATGTTAACTCAAAAGTAACATATTAGATTGTGTCCTAATGAGCATTAATCTGCTTGTTTACTGTATGTGAGGTTTCAAAGTGACATGAGACAACTCAAGCTGGTGTTCTTAAGGTTATTAAAGCATACAAAGAGCAGACGCCCTGTGCATGACGCCTGTTTAAACCCTGTCTCCTGAATGACATTCATACAATATATATCTACTAAACCCGTTTCTCACTTACATTGTGGTGGCTGGATTATGTTCAGAGGAAATATTTTTATTTATACGAATGACGCTCCACATTTATGAAGGGCATCAAAGTCAGCAGGTGGTGGTTGGGGCGGATGGTACAAAGAACACGACAGACACACCAGAGACCAGGTTCACATCCAGAGTCCGTCTGTGGTTTAGGCAACGAAAGCCCTTTGGTTAAGGTCGGTGAAAGATGGTGGTTTTGGTTAAATGTAAATAAACGTGTTGTGTCTGAGGAACTTTTTCAGACCAATATCTTTCCTTCACCTTGACCTTAAGTGCTGTGAGAGTCTAAACAGAACCATAAAACACGTTAATAAGGCAGTAGTCACTACAGGTAGATGTTGTACTGCAAGATCATATATTTTGGTGGGAAACAAATATTTTTTACTCTCTGAAAGCACAGTACAGATGTTGCTACTGTAACCTAATTGTATCGTATTGTTTTTGTTTGATTATTTGTCTGCGTGTTCTGCTGTTGTCTGTCTGTCTCTTTTTAGACTGTACATCTGTATCTTTAGCTAATTGTATAATATTATCAACTGTTTAAGTCTATTTGCTGTTGCTGTCTCTCCTTACACTACACATCGCAATCAATGCATTCCAATATAGTATTTACTCTACTTTCATAGCTGTAGTGTATTGTGGTTTATTGCATCTAAACTAAACTAAACTAAACTAAACTAATGTCATGGATCAGGGCGTTGCTCACAGTTTCAACCAGGTTTTTCCTTATTCTCACACATGTAATGTCCACATTCCCAATTCCACTTTTTAAAAAGTGGAACAAAAGTAAAACATGAATCCTTCTAACACCATACACGCCATGATTTTATCCCCCCAAAAGGGACTGAAGTCCAGCTTGGTCTCGGTGCCCAAATCATATTTATACTTGGCAAGCTGATCTTGAAAGTGTGTCTCTGTCCTGACAGCGCTCCAAGAAGGATTATCAGGGACCAGATTTCAGGAGCCTTGGTCAAGATAATGTCCGACGAGTCTGATTGTGTATTTTCATTAACAGAGACAAACTGAGGTCAGTCGTTACAGAGTAATAAACAGGCCTTTTGAAGCACATCTGCAGTATGGGGCAAGAGGCTGACAGTAAAGCTGAGTGGCATATAATGTAATATGACCCACCTTTAAAAACAGGGCTGGTACTTCAAACGTAGAGTTGTTATTTATGAAATGTTTGTGTTATTTTGTCTTATACTGTAGATCTCAGGTCAGCCTACAGAAAACACAAGGGGAGTTCACTGAGGACAAACAGGACTGAAGAGATGTGAACCAGCAGTGCTAATGCTACAACCATTTCACACACTGTGCCGTGATTCAAAGTGTCACAGAGGAGAGAAATAACGTGTTGAGCATCTCGTCAAATCGCCCCGGGTTAAACGGCCTCTCTCCAGAGTGTGTTTAGGAAATTAAAGGCCAGGGATTTTTTTCATAATTGTCTGTTTTATCATTTTATTACAGCTAGCTTTCCTCTGATGGGCTCCCTTTATGATTTATCAAATACAATTACTGCGCGACTTATTTCAGGAGCCTCTCCATGGCTGAGGACCATTAGTGTGTGTGTGTGTGTGTGTGTGTGTGTGTGTGTGTGTGTGTGTGTGTGTGTGTGTGTCTGTGTGTGTCAGCCCTGGTGTATTTAAATAGCATTAAGTAATTGGAAAAACACAAAAAGAGGCTGGAAAATCTGAATTGTCTTTATGGATTTGTGACCCCCTCCCCCCTGATTTTGTCTTTCTCTCCCTCTTTTTCTCTGTTGCCTCTCAGTGAATTTTCCAGAAGCTTCAGTATTGAAGTTAAAATAAGAGAAAATTGTGTTTTAACTGAAATAGGTTTGGGCTATTTTTTTTTTTCTGCTGCAAAGATTTTTCTCCAGGAAAGAAGAAAGAGAGGATTGAGAGAGATAGAGAAAAGGAAAGAAACAGACAGAGAGAGAGAGAGAGGCAGACAAAGAGGTTAAATCCATACCTTCCTCACCCTGTTAATGAAGTGTAGGTGGCGTCCCGGTCAGTGCCGCTAATTGAACAGTGGAGATTACAGCAGCCGCTGCTCCTCTGTGAAAAGAAGGCCGTGTTCATTAGTCACTGCCATTTAATATTCATTCTGAGAAATGTGTAGATAGTAATCTATGCAAAGAGCCGCTGGGATGATTGCACTGTGGTAGCAATAACTCAAACAATCATCATTTCAAGTACTGTGGCTGTTGGCCTGCAGTCCTGCTCATGTTCGTCATATCTTCCTTTCCCGCTAGATGAGGAGTTGATAATGAGTTTATCCAATGCTTTTACTGATAATGAGCTTGGTGTGTTTGTTCTTTGATGCTAAATTATTTCATTTTCAACATTTTAAACCTCTTCTGAAATAAAACACAGCCCTCAGTAATGTGTGAAAGGCACTTTAGATCAAATTCATATCAGAATATGGGATTTATGAACAGATCCTTAATTTAAAAGACATTTAAATATTATCATATGAATTATTTTACATAGAGATTATTGCCAAATATCTGTTTCAGTGAATGTTTTCATGCACTTACTGACTTTAGAGCGTAATGCTGCTTATGCTCAAGTTCAACACATCACAATGTGTGAGATGGGTTTAATAAAATCTCGGTCACACTCTGACAGGCTGTGTAATATCAATTTTGAGGCATGTCAATGAATGACTATGTTGCATATAATAGAAACAAGTGCAAAGCAGAGGCACGTCATTGACGTTTTCAAAACACGAGAGTCTTGAAAACAAGATTTGGCCAACGTGCTGACACTTCAGCACATTAAAAATCTCATAAGAGGAGGAGGAAGCTGCGAAAGTGTCGAGGCCGGGGGAAAGGTGCGCAGCAAGATCGCAGTGTGAAGGAGCCTTCAAAGTTTGGTGCGTTCATCCAAAGAGCAGAACACATGAAGAACTATATGTCAGTGTCTTATCAAACTATTCTATTAGATTATTTTCTCTGCAATTTTCTTATATCCTCTAGTTAATATGTATAAAAGCTCATGAAGTACAATGGTTCAGAACTTAAACTAATAAACTGATACAGCGTGAATCATAAGCTACAGACGGGCGACAAATTAAAGGAAAAACAAACATTAAGTGTCTTTGTAAGTCGTTGAACCACCATGAGCTGCCAGGACTGTACTGGGGGTGGGGGGGATGGAGCACCAATCTGCCAAAAGATATTCCATCATGTATTGTGTCGATACTGTCGCTGGAGGTGCTGTCTAACACGTTGGTCCAAAATCTCCCATAGGTGTTCAGTCGGGTTGAGATCTGTGAGGGTCACAGCATACGATTCACGACATATTCATCCTCATCAAACCATTCAGTGACCCCTCGTGCACCATGTCATCCTGTTTCACTTTTCAGCTTTTTCCTTTAATTTGTCACCGTCTGTTTGTTTCTATCTAAATATTGTGCAGATTTTAATGAATGAATGAGTGAGTGAGTGAGCAAAACGAGATTACATAATTAAAAGAGCAGCACTAGTAACAGGTAAGTAACAGGTCAATGCTGCTTCCGGCATGAATTTAATTTACCCTCACACCATGTGACGTTTATGTCTGCTGCCCTACTCTTCTTCTTTTGTTTTGTGGTGAATTGCAGGCCAGGAGCAACATGCGGACCCCTACCCTGCACTGCCAGACATAAGAAGAAGAAGTCGAAGCAGGTTCCTCAACAATCTTCTCTCTGAATAAACTGCGTCCACTGCATCTTGCCTGCGTTGGTTTGTCACATTTTCTAACTCAGATGAGCTTTTTTTAATTTTTTTTTTTTTTTAATGTCTGGTGTTTCTTAATTCAAGATGTGCTTGAGAGCAGGTGTAATGGACCCCGGATAGGACGCAGAACAAGCAGGCGTGATGCTGACCCATTCATCTGGTTTCCTGACGCTGCAGTAGAACGCAGTAGAAACCCAGCATGTCTTTATCAGGACAAAAACAAAACTCCTCTCTGCTTCTGTCACTTTTCTAACCCCAGCGAACCCCCCTCCTCGCCCCTCCTACCCCCCCTTCCCCTCCCCTTCGGTTGCCTGTCCAGCTCAGTGGGACCCTCTCTCTCTCTCTCCCTCTCCCTGTCTCTCACTGTCTCTCTACCTCTCTCGCCCCCTCCCTCAGGGCAGAAGTAAACCACGCCTTGAGGCCCTGCTCCCATTGTGTGTCCTCTGCTACTTCTGTTTGGGGCCTTTGTGTGCCGCTAATCAGCCGTGGGGCCGTGCTCAGCCCCGAGTGTGTGTCTGTGTGTGTGTGAGTGTGTGTGTGTGTCTCTGTGTCCCTTGCCCTCATTACGTAGCCACACTGGGAGGCCAGCATGGGAAGTTTCTGCTGCACTATACACCCCCCTCCATCCCTCCACCCCCCCCCTTCTCTCTTTCCCTCCCTCTAGCTGTCCATCACTCCCTTCCTCCCCTCTCTCATCTCACCATCCCAACACTGAGAGCTGCACTGGTCATGATTTTTAAATTAAGACAGTAATCTTTTAAAAGTTATAGATATTTGCTCAAATTCTCATCAGTATCGTTTTGGTGTCGGTTTGAACAGCTGTATTTGTCTCATGTGAATTGGTTCTAAGTCTAATTTTAAAAGAGAATTTAGCAAGAACACTGACGGCTGGACTCCTGCACCCCAACACACAATAAGATGGTAGTGACCTTACAGGATTTCTGGGTACTGAAATTCTCAAAAGTAAAAATGTGTACTTGGCTAGCACAGATCATTTCACCATGTTTTCACTTCTTCTTCATGATTAGCAGTTTTTAAGTAAACTGGGCAAATTGAATGTGCGGTGTATACTGTAGTCAGGAGGTAAAAGTGTACAGCAAAACCATTTCAGCCTGCACATCAGAAAAACCCTCTTTCTGTTAAACATTACAGTTACAGAGTACTGTACTACACTGTGAGGACACACTACTTTTTGTGTGTCTTCAACTATTTTGTTGAATGAATGAATATATACATTGCATTACATTGTGTAATTTCCATAACAAATGAGCGAACTCCCGATGATGAAGGCCACCAAAATGTGTCTGAAAGCTCTGGGAAACTTTCAGTTAATGGACTATGAGCTACCAAAATCAGTTTTGTAGTTTTTTAAAGATGAGTTAAAAAGTCAATCCAGAATTCACCTCAATTAAAGTGAATAATTGGTGTGAATGAAAATTGCCATTTGAATTGTTAGATTTGTTGCTATGACAATATGTATAGTAATAGTACACTGTGTCAATTTTTAATTACAGCAAATAACTTAAGAAATTTGAGGGAATTAATTAAGTGAGGGACTAAATAAGTACACTGAGGGCAAGAATGATGATTAATAATTTGAGGATGAATTTTAGAGACTCTTCATCCTCTGTGTGGAGAGTCTGAGCTCTCCCATAAAGACAGAGGTTCAGAGAGCCAAACTCCACGTCTGACATGGTGAGAAATGATTTTGTCTCTCAAACTTTTACATGTTTAGGATGAGTCAAATGATGATGATTAGTCTTCCATAAAAAGCTGTTGGATGATGATGTTAATGTTGTTAGGCTGATGTACCTTGTTTTAAGTGAGCTCGTGTGGCAGATTTCAGAATTTTTAAAACATATTTTTATTGTATGTTTTATGTATTTTTATTGTGTTTTCATGTTCAAACATCAGTGTTTGTTCTGTGTTTCACTTGTCTGTGAGACACATTCCCTCTTGGGATCAATAAAGTTGAGTTGAAAATGTTTCCCCCTCGACATTTACCAGGCTCAGTGTCAACAGGAAGTTGAACATGACACGCTGTTTGTTTGGCTGGTGATCTATAGTAAAGAAATTCAACAGTAATCAGAAAACTGAGATGATCTCTTTAATACTTCCATCAGTTTCACTGTTACTTAAATACATGAATACGCTGGAGCAACTGAACTGTCTGTTGCTCTTTATTGCTCCCCTCTGTCACCCGCTGGGTGCCCCCTCACCCCCTCCTTCCCTCCCACTCCTCCTCTCCTTCACCTCCTTCTCATCTGTCCATCCCTTCTTTTCACTCCCTCTCTCCCCCGTCTCCCCTCCTCCTTCTCACATCCATGATGTTTAATCTGTCCGTGTGTGTGTGTGTGTGTGTGTGTGTGTCTTGGTGCCCGATGGGGTTTTAGCCACTGGAGCTCTTTGACTTGAGGACAAGCGTTGTCTGTTCATCGCTCATCTAAACACACACACACACACACTCTCTCTCTCTGTGTCTGTCTCTTTCTCTCTCTCTCTTCAGTCAACAGCTACACTGCTTTCTCAAATTTCACTGTGGGACCGAGAACATCTCTCTTTCTCTCTCTCTCTCTCACTCCTTCCTCTCTTCCTTTAGAGCTCATTTCTTCCTTCACCTGTATTATCACACAGTTTACCTGTCCTCTCTCACCTGTCCAACAATTTGTCTCCAGGTCGCCAGGTATAGTCAACTTGGTGACCCATATTCATGTTTCAGCGCATAACTGTTACTTTTGCTAATTACCATTTCTACCTGAAGGGTGAGAGAGAGAGGGGGGTGGGGGTGGGAGCGCGAGCTTTGAGACTTCTTGAGTTTTCCTTCTTCACTTAGACTAGTTTGCAAGGGGAGTAAAACTTCAGGATTTACTGTTGAGTCCAAGTCCGTCCAAGTGGCCTTCAGCTGCCAATCTCAAGTAAGGAGTTAGATCAAGTGGTAAATCAGTGAGGTTTGTCTTCATATCGCATTAATCCACCTGTCGATCTCAAGCTCCATCTGTCCCTAGATGTCATAAACAAGGGACAGAGATTTTTGAACTCCATCACTTGCTTGGAACTTGCTCCTAAACTTGAAGGGGAGTGGGGGTCTATCATTTTTGGGCTCAGACTCAAAGGTGCTGACTCTCATCTCAACTGCTTCACACACGATGAAGCCAACAGGACTACTAAAAAGCAGAGCCGCAATAGAATCAACAGCATGTAATATCCTTGGTAAAGCTCATTACCCACTGAGAACAGACTTGACTTATCGCCTGTGAAAGGTGTGAACGGCTAAGAGCAGCGAACCTGGCACCTTGTTTCCAAATCTTTGAGAGGACACTCCAAGCGACATGGTCA